AATGTCTTGCTGAAAAATGGGCTTTTGAAATTGTGGTCGGGTGTAAGACTGCTTCTTTGCCAAGCAGCAGTTCCGCTAGAATTGGGTTGCTCGCGTCAGCCCCAGCTATTCTTGATGAAGTGTGCAAAATGTCTACCTAATTATACATGTAAGTGTTAGTGTGTGCATAAAAAATGTATGTTGACATATGGATTCAGGCACCTAAGCACTGTTTCAGCCACATATCCATTTACATTTTTTTTAATGCGTAATTTGTGTCCAGGGAAATACATTTTTTCATGCTCTTGAGCTGGAAATAGGAGAAATAGGAAATAGATATTCTCTCCAGTGTACTTTAATAGTTCCTCCTTATTTAATTTTGATTTATATTTTCTTCTTTTTAAAACCATGTTTTCATTGCCTTTGATTTAAAATAAATAAATAATTCTCCATGCATGCTGCTTATCCCTAGCAAAAGACCATGCTGTCATGAAGCTTTCGTGGGGAGCAACTCATAAATTGAACTGGGTTCTATGGGAACAGCACTTAAGCATTTATCACATTTAATTTGAATAATAAATGTAAAATATGAAAATACACGCTTATGGCTTCTTGAAAGATATTCCCGTTTTGAGAATGACATTGAGAAAATAGTAAAAACCTGAGAAATTAACTCTGCTCTCTCAGATCCTTGATGATTTTGAGAAAACATGGCTTGCGGGGCGACCACATTTTTCAATAGTGTCAGTCCTGGAAGTATAATTAGTAAATAGTTATTTGCCTGTAAGACTTTCCCTCTGGGTTTCTGAAAGCTCAGAGGTTTCTTGGGTACCAGTTCTAGGCGAGTGGGGTTGTGGAGTGTTTCACTGTTCTTTAACACTTGCATACATCAAAGATCCTTGCAGCTCTGCTAGGAATTGATGGAAAGTGGGAAAGAGAAAGGAAAAACCTTTCTGACTGATCAGATTTCTTCCACCTAGCTTGCAAGATTATATATTTAAATATATCCTTTGATTTAAAGAGCAGAAGCAGAGCTAGAGAACATGCGTTTTTGTACCTTGTACTTGAATAACAGTGACTGTCAGCAGTTTTGAATTGACTGTCTTGAGGGTTTGGGCTCACTTACGTTTTACTTGAGAATCCTTCATGCATCTAGATCAGACACTACAAGCACATGACTGATGTGCGACCTACGCCATAAAAAATTCTGTGAAAATAAATTCAGATTGAGATCTTGAGCTGGGGAAAATCTGCAGACTAGAAGTGCTACCAGATTTGCATTTCATAGTCTGCCTCTTGTAGTCTGCCTTTTTCCCAAGGTCTTCACCAAAGTTTCCTGCGTCTGAGGACACCAGGTGATTCATATATTGGTTCCAGCTCACTGAGCCAGCTATGGATGAGGACCATTGTGCTAGGCACTGTGCAAACACAGCATGAAATAAAATAGACCTTCCCTCAGTTTTACTGAAATTTCTTGTCGGCATAATTGTCACAGGGCAGGAGGGGCACAGATGTTGCATGCGTTGGTCCTACTGCCTTATAAGTTTAACAGGTACCAAGATAGGAAGCTTCTTCAGAAGAATGTTAGGAGTGTTTCTTAACTTTTCAGCGGTGTTTGTGAATAGATTTTAAAGCTTCGGCATGCTCAAGTGAGGAGAGTTTAGCTTGTTTCTTATTTATAGAGTTCCATATGTGTGAATGTAGCACTTCCTGATGCATATGAAAAGAGGCTTCCTGCCCAGGAGGGACTGTCACCTTTCTTGACCTCTTCTTTTTTTAATATGAGCTCATCTCCTCTTGTGCCCTGGATTTAAACAAGCAGCAGCCTGCTTGATCGGGCAGTGCCTGGCTGATGAGCTCTCCTGCAAAATGTCTGGAATAAATCTACCTGAGTCATCTCTCACAATTAAAGTCATACAGCTCGGTACATGCAAATGAGCCTCATCTTTACTGCCACTATGCCTGTGGGCTGTGCAGGAATATGAGCCTGGTTTTCCATGAAGAAGAGCTTGTAACTGTTTTCATAGGATTCTCTTTCCCCATCCTTTTAATTTCATGCTGTTGCCAGAACTGTAGCTGCTGGTACCATCATCATAGTGTTGTCTCTGGAGCCCAACAAAGCAGCCCCATGGCTGGGACTGGCACTGGGTGAAAATGACTGCTTGGCATCGCTTGCCTTCAGTGCAGCTGGTAGCAAAGATGGAGGTTCTTCGGGAGGTTTAAGGATAAATAGGCCTCTCATTTATTTGTGGGTAGGGTCTTCATTAATTTAATCAGGAAAAAGCTGGAGAGAGTGAAATTGCTTAATTCTTACCAGTTTGCAAACATCATGTAGCACAAATGCATGTTGGGAGGTGGTGAACTCTTCTGTTCGGCTGATAACCTACCAGTATTGCTATGGCTGCCTTAGATGTGCAAGCAGGGTGTTTCTGTCCAACTCAATGCTTTCAGCTTGCACCTTTAGGGTGTTACAACCAGGAAAGGCTGCAACATTAATCTTAATTAAGGGGAGATGATGATTTATTCAGCAGGGCTGACTGGTGCACTTGTATGCACAATGCCTTTCCCAGTGGATTTTGGTCTAAACTGTAGGATCAAAGAGAGCTGCTGTAGTAAAACAGCAGGAAAATGAGTAACGTGTATTGATTTGATACCTGGGAAGGAATTGGACAAAGTAGCAGTGGATATATGCAATGCGATGTGCTTCTCCCTCCAACCACCTGCTCTTCCACCAGCACAGCGAGTTTTCTTTAGTGGCAACACTGACAAGGCAGTAGTTAAAGCTGTCACCATTTCCAGAATCCAATTTTTCAAGAGGTTTATAGCTCTGCCATTATAGGGAGGAGAAGGAGAAAATTTCACTGAAAATGCTAAGCAGCCTTTCCATCTGGAAATGGCATGAAATACATGTACTTGTGAGCTATCAGTGCTTTAAACAAAGTTCATAATACCGTTTGGTGTCAGGTTGAAAATGGCTTTTGTGGCTTTTTTAGTCCAATTAATTATTTCTGGTAGTGATTTCATAGACTGGAATATCCTTAATTGAGTCCAGTTTTCTAAACCAAAGAAGTAGCCTGTAATTTTGCTTTTCCCCTCTGTGTTCAGCCTTAGTTTCAGTAAAGTTTAGTTTTAGTCTTTTGTAACTTGAGACATAAGTAAACCTTTAAGACACTTGGAGGGTTACAAAAAATTGAGGTGAAGGGAAAAGTTTAGAAAAAACCCCCCAAAAACTTAGGATTACAGAGATCTGCTCATAAATCAACATTAGATTAATCCTTCCTCTACCAGCCTCTGATTGCAATGAGTTTTGAGCAGGAATTTGCACGTCTTTGTCATCTCACTTAGCACAACTGTATTTGTCTACTTTCATTGGCAACACCGTTTATTCATCTCGGAAAATACACGAATGATTCACATACATCAGCCTGAAGTAGGAAGGCTGAGCTGTGGACACCTGGATTTAGAAGAATGCAAGTCTGTCAGTCGAATTAAAGCATCAAGGACGTTTATGCTGAAAGTAGTGGCTGACTTGCAAATGTGCTTTTTTCCTTCTCACAGTTAGACCATCTGGTCAGTGGGGCTCAGTGGTGAGAATCCTGCCTGCAGAGTGGGATAACTTCTTTGTTCTGTGCCTCTGCAGCCTGTCATGCATTTATATTTGATGTTATAGGTGTGTCCTGTAGTAACTTTAAATTCCAAAACACGTCCTGGGGTTGTTTTGAGGATGACCTCCGTTTCAGCTCAGCTTCTTCCTCCACCTCATGTGTCCCAAAACCCCCCTTCCCTTTTCCACATGTAAAAACTCACAGCACTTATGAAGTATATGTTGGAAGTGCAGGTTTCGTTTCTGTGCCTCAGTGACATGATGTTTGCAAATAGCTGAATTTGTAGTGATGTGTAGTGCCCGGGGCTGCATGTTCTGACTTTGATCGGCTTAGTGCCTTGTTTTGAATGCTGCAGTCTGTAATGCATGGGATGCAAGAACAACAGTCTCTTACTTCTTCACACTCACTTTGGACACATTTTCCAGCCCAGTTGGAGTGAGTCATGATCAAAATTAGTTCTGTAATTAAGAAAACACTGAACCTCTTGCGTGTGTTAGGCAAATGAGCTGAAGCTTTTAGCCAAGCAATTATGTGTTAAGGTTTTACTGTAAGGTGAATGTAAACTAGATAATTTCTCCAGCTAAGCTTCCCATAATCATTCCATTAGTATGAATTCAGTACAGTGCAGAAGGGAGGCAGCATAGTTTGATGGTTAAGATTATTATTATTGAGGATTATTGCAGTACAAATTAGCAGTAGAGGCTTCAGACAAGGTTATGGTCATATTTTGATATGGTAGGATACTTTTTTGACTTTTATGATAGGATAAAAGACCGCTCTGGAGTGGTCATGATTTAAATAGACCAATAGATGCAACAACAAAAAAATTATTTGCGTAGCTACAAAACTGAGATGCAGCGAGATTAAATGCTGTGCCTTCCATGTGGCCAGTGGAAGCCAAATTTGATCTTGTGGCAAAGGCATTCATTTGTGTGTGTGTGTGTAGTACAGTATCACTTCTGGGAAATACGAGCCCTGTTCCACTTTGGAAGGGCAAGTGGGAGAGGGTTGTGGTTAGTGCAGTAATGTGGGTGCTGGATTACCTGCAAATTGTGTTTTCATTTCCTTCATCTGCTCTCTGTCAGTGGGTTAGTTATTTTATCTGATTATCTGCCTAGGGAACAAATGTTTAAAAGGGGAGGCTTCTTAACTAGAACCATATTTCTTGATGTTGTGTTTATCTCATCTTTCCACTTAAGGATGCTTGCTGGGAGTGGTATTGTTCCAGTTTCAGTAAGCCGTGTGTATAGCTTTTTTATTTCTTTGGCTTTTGCTGATCAAATTGATATGATAGTTTATTTAAGGCAGCGTGTCTCAAGATGATGGAAAAAGGTCAAGGCAATTTCAAAAGCAGTTTGTATTTTGTTTCTCAGCATGGAAGCTGTTATTGATGTTTCTGGCTTTGTGTTTCTGTAGGCATTCTTGCCAGCGTTCGTGTACTCGTTGAAGGTGTCTCCACTCATAGAAAAAATAAGTGACCACAAGGATTTTAAGAAGCTTCTCAGGACACGGAATAACGTACTAGTGCTGTATTCCAAATCTGGTAAGTCCTCTTTTTTTTTTTTTTTTTTTTTTTTTGTGTCGCAGCTTGTGTGCCCAGCAGGGTGTGTGTGTTTGAACATCTGTGTACATGCTTAGGTGACTAAGCTCTTTGCCCTTACTTGCTTTCTGTTCAGTGTTGCCTTATCTGACTGCAAGGTGCTTCTGTGTGACTACAAGGGCTTCTTCAGGACTGGTGTCTTTGTTCTAACTCAGAGGCTTCCGATGTTTCAAGTTTGGTGGCGTCTTGATTTGGTCTTCTAATTGCTCTGTCACACTGGCAAAAATGTACTTTATTCTGGCTTTGTGTCCAAAACTGGCAGCTCGTAACAGCTCTCCGCCAGAGTTTTCTGGTGTGTTTATCACAGTAGTTCTCAAGTTTCAATTTCCTGGTGACACTGAAAGGCTTAATGAATAGTTATAGTACTGAAATCAATCCATCTTTGCTTCTGACAGCTTTGAGTGTCCCATGGTTGTCTTTCAACTTAATTAACAAAATATAAAAATAAAAAATGAGCTGCTTGTGTAGGAGGGAGAGACGGCTCATTTCATGTAATGCTACTGTCATGCTACAGTCCTCTCTCTTTCAGGCTCTTTTCTGACTGCTCACGCTTCCTTCCCTGCCTCTTTGCTCTTCCTATTGCTCTATTCTGTTTCTGCTGTACCTTGTCTCCTTTGTTGCCTTGTTTGTTTTGATGTGTTATTTTGTGTGACACCATGTAAAATGAAGAAACAGTCCTTAAGCTCCAAACACAAGTGCAGAATGCTGTTGTGGATGTGGAAGTCATTTGACAGCAAAAATTAAAATACGTCATGAAGATGATTTTTTCCTTAGTGCTGTATTGTTTTTGTTGTTTCTTCCTTTTCCTTCCTCCAGGCAAGCAACACAAGATAAGCTTTGTTTGCGAGTTGTGTTCTCCGTCTCTGACCTGTTGCAAAGGTCTTGTCTCAAACTCAGTGACACTGGTAGTTGCTCTGGGTTTATAATGTCGCAAATTGGAGCAGTATGTGATGACCCAGTATCCTCCCTGCCTCCTCTCCCAAATATCAGAGAACTAGGCAGACAAAAATGTGCAGCTGCTGGGATAATTAACTTTTGTTTCCTAAAGATATGGTTATTCTGAAACAGTTAAAATGATACATGTGACTTAATTTTGTTAAAATATTTGTGTTTTGCTATAATGGGAGACTTTGAGCACCCAAACTTGGCCAAATGGTTTTGTAGTAACAGGTTCAAAGTAAGTCATAAAAGAGTTTCTAATGCTTTTTGATTTTGAAAGGAACACTTCAGATAAAAAAGACATCTGTGTTATTCAGCTTTTGAAAGGGAAAATTTTCTTTTTACGCTTAATATTTTAAGTGGTGTTTGCTTTCATTTTTAGCAGCACAACCAGAACACTTCAGCTCTGACACTCATCAAATAAATGTTGCCCTATAGGCATTGTTCAAAAGCTGTGTTGTGGAGATTTCTTTTTTCTGTTTTTGTTACTTAATTGGTTAGTTTTAGCAGTCTAAACCATTGCATGCAGAGCTGACTGTGGGATTAATGTTTCTTCCTAGAACAGTGATCCTGCACAATTAGAAGTCTCTTGGTTAACTTTCACCCAGAAAGAGGGAAGGGGAAAATAGAGGTAGGAATTTGGAGGTGCAATTCTAAACCAGGTATACATCCCCCAGCTGTAATGAGATGTTGGTCAGCATCTGATCATACTGCTGGAATAAAGGTTTTGCTTCTCAGCTGAGCAGAACTAGATAAGCATTTCTATCTCACATAGAAAATTCATTTGGTTTAGGAGATGTCCTCGTTTTTAGGAGATGTTGAGTTCACCCTATCAGCAGGGTATCCTGCCAGGGCTGCTCAATTAGTGAGTCTTCTGGGACAAGTCTGTCCTATCCTAAATGCTTATTTTTTAAGAGGTGTTCGTCAAACTATTCCACTTTGTGTGAAGAATTCCCCCATGTGTCTACATCCTTGTGTTGCAGAGGGGTGGCAGTTGCATGTTATCGGTATTGGGGGTAGGATAGTTTCTTGAGAGCTAACATGTGTGGGCTGGCATCTCTGATGGCATCAGGCCCAAGCAAAGGCTGTCAAATAAAAAGAAGCTGTTTCTGACTCAGGAAATCATTGAGACAAAAATTGTGGAGGTTCAGATGCTGAGGAGGCTATCACTGCCCACTGTTTCTACTTGTCTGCTCTGACCTATATAGGCCTTCACTTTCTCAAATGTTGGAGACAGATAGTGGTTTATTATAGGAGCATTTGGTTTGACCCAATGTAGCTATTCCTATATTCAGTTAGTTGAAGTAGCGTGGAGCAGCAGCAGTTTGAACAGATCTGGAAGAGGCTCTGGGTTTCTGTTTTCTGTTTATCGAGGCAGGAAACAGTTTCCATTAGATTTAGTTTTTCTGTTAGATTCTTCAGTGTTTATTTTTAATGCCATTTTTAAGACTTCTCTGGAATGGAAGCATTTTGCAAAATCCACGCATGTGGCATGGCATTACAAAAATCCCAGCTGGGTATTTCTAATACAGCCAGCTCTTGGAAGGACCTTTTGTGGGTGCTTTCTGCTAATAGTTTTGAGCTCCTCACAACTGTTAATTCGGGTATCTCCCAGAGTTATTACGAGAATAACTGTGTTATTTTCTGTGTATGACAGGGCAATTGAGGCAGGCAGAGATGCTGAATGGCTTGCCCTAATGAAGGTCCTAATTAGCAGGCAGTGATACAAACTGGTTAGTGCCTAGCCACAGAAAGAAGGCAGTGTTGGGATGGAAGCCAGTTTGCAGGAGAGGACACAGTATAATTCCATAAATATAGGTCAGGGAGCATGCCTGGAGGTATGAATTTCAGTGTGTTGTTTAAGGGGGGTGGAGGGAAGAAGCCACCCAACTTTAGCTGCAGCCAGCATTCCTTCTAGTTTACAGAAGATTTTACTGATCCTTCTCATACTGGTTTCTTCAAATTAGCCAAATGTTCTCCCAGTGCTTCAGAACAAAGGAATGCACCATTGTGTTTTTCTGTGTGGAGTAATAATGCTGTTGTTGATTAATTTTTATTATTATTTTGTCTTCCAGCTGCTGCTGCGGAAAGCTCACTCAGGTTACTGTCCAGCGTGGCCCAGGAGGTGAAAGGACGAGGTACTATAAGCTGGATAGACTGTGGGTATGTGTCACACTTTTTCTTCTTTTTTTCCCCTCTTCGCTTTTGGCTTTTATTGCAGACTTGGCTTTTTTTTAATAGGTCTGAAACTTTTGCCCATAACTGAACAGGCATGACTCTGTGCAGTGTCTTCATAGCTGCAGGGAGCCTACATCTTGCCATCCTCTCTTCCTTCAGACCAGTAGTGGGGAATCATTTTTTCCTTATGGCTGTTGTCACTTCTCTGACAGCATGCTTTGCAGCCTGAAGCTGGGGACCCCAGCTAGCTTTGCCTTTCATGGGGGCACATAGCATGGAAACTCTGACTGCTCTGGTTTTCCCACAAGTCTGGGGAGGAGGAATTTCATCAGCTGGAGATCAGTGCCGTTCTGCTCTGACAGCAAATGTTGCACAAGCAGTAGGGCTGTTTGCTTGGTTTTGAAGTGTCCATCCATTTGTATTTCTCAATCAAATGTGTTTTCTTCTAAAGAACTTCCTCTGTGCTTGCATAGGTTCATGACAGTTTTTAATGTGACGGCAGGGGAACTTGTTTCTCTAAGTGATTGATTGTGTGTGGAGGAATGAAGAGATGTGTAGTTTCTGGTTTGCACGTGTGAAAGCCACACAGCTTGGTGTTGTCGGCAAACTTGCTGAGGGCGCACTCAATCTCACTGTCCATATCTGGACATACCTCTGAAGTCCAGTCTCCTTTTCTAATGAAAGCACTGATAAACAGTTTTTGGCTGTCAGTAATGAGGGCTAGCAAATAGGATACTGGTCCAGCTTCTTGGCTTTAGTTTCTAATTGACCCCCTTTGTCACTATGGAGTGGTCACTACCTCTTTGCATCTTCAGTTTTCCTTTTGGTTTAGGCTGTTTCTGTGTTGAGAGACTTACTGCTTGTCATGTATGTGTGCATGTGGCATGTGCATATAACTAATGGAATGATGAGGCTGTTCATCTGGCCCTTCAAAATGCTGCTATAATACAACTAAGCAATACCCATCTACAGGATTTATTTTAGTTCTAGACTGAAGAAGGAAAGTTTCAGTGTTTAGGACTTCAGTTTGAAATCCAGGGAAGATTTGTCTCTTAGCTCAATGAGTCAGTCTCTGCTTCTGAGATTTTAAGTGATGGTGATGGGGAGGGAAATGTGTTGTTTGGTTTTGCTGCAAAATAAACTTCAATTCATCAAACCCTAATGTGCCCTCCCTTTCTAAATGTTGTCATCTAAAGCAAACTTTGTTATGGAAGTTACTTGCAAGATATGTATTGTAAAGTCTCCTGCAGGTAGTGCTTCAGTATGTTTCCTAGGAAGCTTGGTACTTGAAGAGCCTTTCCTCTGACCATGGTGGGGAAATATTTAAGTTAAGCTTCCTATTTGTGATGAAAAGTGAGTTGTTCCCCCGGAGTGAAGCAACCTGGTGAAGGTCATGCTCTAAGAGGTAGGGAGTCCTGGGAATAGATTTGCAGGTTCCCAAAATTTGCTTTGATGCCGGTAGTATCACAATCAAATTGCTATTTGCAGAGTGACAGGCAGTGGGCAGGGTGCTGTAAGATGACAGTAGCTGTAATTCTGTCTTCAGGGGCTGATCAGCACTTCCTTTCAGATCACTTGGTTGTGAAGAACCTGGAAAAAAATAGATGACCTGTCCAGCTGTAGCTGGCTGTTCGTCAGGGATGCCTCTTCTATCTCTTCCACCTGCAGAGGGATGTTGTAAGAGAGTTTGTGAACTTGCCTCATGGGGCAAGGAGAGCTGGAAGACTGGTTTGTGGCAAAGGAGGCCTTGATGCATGCAAAAAACCTCTTCAAACAAGTAGAATCATAGAATAGTTAGGGTTGGAAAGGACCTTAAGATCCTCTAGTTCCAACCCCCCCCGCCATGAGCAGGGACACCACACACTAAACTATGTCGCCCAAGGCTCTGTCCAACCTGGCCTTGAACACCCCACCAGGGTTGGAGCATTCACAACTTCTTTGGGCAACCCGTTCCAGTGCCTCACCACCCTCACTGTAAAGAACTTCTTCCTTACATCTGATCTAAACTTCCCCTGTGTAAGTTTAAAGCCATTACCCCTTGTCCTACCACTAGAGTCCCTAATGAAGAGTCCCTCCCCCAGTAGTTTGAGCCTGAAGCAAGTTTTGTGGTTACTTTGCTTGTTAAACCTTTAAAGCATTCTCAAATCAATCTTGTAATGTTGAGATAACTTTTAAACAAATTTCTTCCTCAAAAGATCTTTTTTTTTTTTCTTTGCTTATTGCTGCCTTTATCATGATTTATTTATTGATTTATTTTTGTGTATCACTCACTACAGTGATAGTGAGAGAGGCTGCAGTAGTGCTGTCTGTCACTGGTCACAAAGGGCCAGCTGTAAGGCCTGAACGGCCTGAGTCCTACCAGAGTTGCTCAAGCTATTCTCCCACTGCAAGTATGCTGTGAGGCTTATTTGCAAGTCTTCATGCCGAAACAAACAGCACACAGATGCAGGGATATTTACAGCACAGGCTCAATTTGTTTTACAAATACTGACAAGAAATGGCTTGTCTGGCAGCAATATTTAGCAGGGAATTTTGGCTTTGCTCTTCACATCCTGCTGTAATGGACTGTGCCTTTAGATCCAAGCATTGGCAGGGTTGGCATACGTGCAGAGTTGTGGTTTGTATCTCTGCTTCCCTGTGGCGATGACGGCAGTTGTCTTCATGCCTTTTTCTTTATTGGCAGTGTACTTTTTTTTTGGTTTCTTGTCATTCTTCTCCTTCCCTTCATTTTCAGGAGAAAGCAAGAACGTACTGCTCCTCTGATGGAAATAATTTTGGATTGCTGAGTCTTGGCAGTATGTTTTGTATTTCATACAGCAGAAGGGACTGTGCAGGTTTGCAGCTGGAGGCGGGCAGCCTGAATTGCTTATGTGAAAACTGTGCTCCTTGGCCTCAGCTTTTGTTAGGTCTGTGGTATGAGACAGTAGCTAGACTTGAGCTTTCAGTTCCAGGTTGAGTGCTCTTGGGGAGACCAAGGAGGTTTTTCCAGCATAATGTGGCTGAATACTTGGTTTCTTGCTGAGACTATTAGTGAGGAGTAGAGGAGGTTGCCGTTTAGTTTGTCACCTTGCAGCAGAATAGCAGAGCTCCCCAGAGTGCCTGAGCTTACAAGATGTAGGACTGGGAAGTGCCAGGTACCTGCCTTCCCTGTGCAGTTAGGCTCACTGGAGTTAAGTGCCATCCTGGAGCAGGGCTATGCAACACACCCAGGGATGCCTCTGGGTGCACTATTGCAGAAAAGGTCCTTGCTCTTGAGAGATTTCAGTCAATTTGAACAGGCAAATAGATGCCTTCTTCTAGAGGTGAAGGGGCAGCACAAGAATTGCTTGTGGCATTGAAGTGATTGCTGTTTGTTCCTGTGTGCTGAGATAGCATATGTGGCTCTGTACACACACAATTAAATGTGGAGCTCTTTAATTTGTGAATAGAGATCCACAAACAATGTGACAAAAATGTTTTATTCTAGACTGTTCATGTTTTAATTAGGAATTCCTTGCTCAGGCATTTGTTGTTGAATGAATGGTGGTGTGAGACATCACAGAATATTGAATTAATCATGCCTCGTAAGGTGCATGGTATCAGGAATAGAGCACAAAGTTGTAGATTGGTAAATCCTGAGTTTGGGACTCATGTCTGGGGACTCACCATGTTAATAGGAGCTGAGAGTCCCAGCTAATGTTCCTGGCTCTGTGAGTGATTTGCTTCTCGTTACTTTGGGCTGTTAAAAAAGGTGTATCTGTTTTCCAGGCAACTGGGTAAATATTGTCTGATTCATTAATCAGCATTTACAAAGAGTTTGTAGAACTTTGAAAGGAGAAATGCTACAGCAGTGCGAGAGATGCTTTGAAGAATCATAATTTTAAAGTTACCCTCTAGCTGCCTTGAGTAGGTTTTGTGATAGATCATGGGGTGGCCAAAGACTACTGTTATTAGGAAGAGTATAACTAGTTTGGGTGAAGTGGAAAGAAAGTAAAATGGCTTTGCTAAAATGTGTTTGGCAGGTTATAAAATGCATTGTGGTCAGGTGCAGCTTTGAGGAGATAGAAGGCAGAAGAGGTTGAAAGTAGTTCTTTCCGTTGTGAATGTGATTTAGTGAACTCTCCAGGATTTTCCTGTTGCTGAATTGTCCCGAGGTTTTTACTGGTTATAACTCCTGCCCAGTTGTGGACTGATATTTTCAAAACCTCATCCATTTCTTTGGCTTTGGGTAATTATTTTCTGTTCAAATTTGCATGGTTCCCTTTACTACTGTATGTCCCAAACATAAACAAAGCTGTGTGATTTCCATCTGCTGTCATAGCGCATGTGCTTGGCTTTAGCACATCAGACTGCTAGGAAGAGGAAATACCATCTGGTTAAAATGTCTCACTAATTTTTGGTTGGTTTTAATTCCACATTTTCAGCTTTTGTGTGTCATTCTTATAGTCCCTTTCATGTGTCCTGTGTGTCATTCTTGTCTTCATCCCCAGTAATTACTTGTTATTGTTGCAATCCCATGACACTTAGCATAAATGTAAGCCCATAATTTGGCTGGTAAAGCAGTACTTTCAGGCCTGTGTATCTAAACATGTGCTGGTTCATGAGAGCCAAATCTAATGAGTAGTTGTATTTTCTGGGATTTCCCCCAATTTCCATGTTTATCTGCCTTTTAGATGAAATCTTCCTTCACAAATTTCTATTTTCCCAGTGCCTTGATACAGAAAGGCTTTACTCACAGTCATATATTAATTCTTTTAATACTTTGAAACAGCAGGGAGGAATTTCAGAAATAAGGCTGCTGGCATTAAGGGTCATTTTGGTCTTTAGTTTTAACTGACTCCTATAAAGCCAATCAGAAGTAGGATTTATTTAAGAGAATAAGTCTACTCATCTTCCTTCCTTGCAGTTGAATTTTAAGGCTGATGAAAAGCTTTGAAATTACAAAAAAAAATGACCAGATCTAATGGACAGAGAAAAAAGGAAGGAAGGAGTGATGCTCTTGCACC